TAGTTTAATGCTAAGCTAAGGTGACTCACTGCTGGCTATAGCTTTATATGTATTATGATTACAATCTTCTCATCTAACTCTTTCAAGTGAATCCATTTCTTTTTCCAAAATGCTTTGGCTGCTGTGTTTATCATCACACTGCACAACTATCAGTATCAGAAGCAGCTAATTACTGCTAACCAGTTATCTTGGAGTGAACGTTGCAGAGGCTTTCAGATGATCCTTTCTCATGTTTATTCAGCTTAAGAAGTAGGACAGTTTTCTAAACCCAATAAGGAGCACTTAATCTTCTGAAGTAAGACAGCATCCTCTACGGCACACCATCCAAAACCTTAAATAAACTCCAGTACATCCAGAACTCTGCTGCTCGTCTGCTCACTTACACCCGCACCGGTGACCACATCACCCCTGTCCTCCAGAACCTCCACTGGCTCCCGGTCCCTCAACGTATTCAGTTCAAAATCCTCCTCCTCACACACAAAGCCCTCCATAACCAGGCCCCTTCCTTCCTCACCGACCTGCTGGATCGTCACAATCCATCCCGTAGCCTCCGCTCATCTGATGCAAACCTCCTGACTCCTCCACCCAGGACCAAGCACCGAACCTGGGCCGGCAGAGCCTTCTCTGTAGCTGCCCCCTCCCTCTGGAACTCTCTCCCCAAACACATCTGTGACTGCACCGACCTTCCAACATTCAAATCTCGGACAAAAACTCACCTTTTTAAAATAGCTTTTAATGTTTAGCTTAGTCTGATGTGTTTTTAGTGTTTTACTATTTGATGTTGTTTTGCTGCTTTTATGTTTTTATGTGAAGTGTCTTAAAATGTATTATTATTATAAGACCAGATACAAGGCTGATGTAATGTTAATATTAGCATCCAGGTACCAGCAGCAGACAAAGCTGGAGACACAAATGATAATATAAAAAAAAAATAGATCATTTAAATAACAAATTTACAAATGTTTTTTTTTTTTTTTTGAGTGTTTAAAAAATCAAAGCCAAATTCAGAACTTCAAAATCAAAATATGTTACTGTTTCCATTCCATTGACATTGACATATTTAATCCGCAACAATAAAACCAATATATTACATAAACTACAACTGAAACAGGTCAAACCAGTTATTGTGTCTAGTTACAGTATATTGTGCTATCAGGGAATGAGTGAATACCAAAATAAATACCTTACCAGATAGAAGTAAAATCAGCAGGATTGTAGAATACATGTCTGAACTGCAAAACAAAGATAAAACAGAATAACTCCTCTATCTCCCTCATTAACCCTGAGTGGGTAATAAACTGACTAATCATACAAATGCGTTCAACTATAGAAACTGATTATGCTGTAGTATATTTATGAGTTAGGTTAAGTTACATTCTTTGTACCCGTAGGTACATTTGGTTACAGTAAAACAAAAGTATTTTAACAACAAACAACTCAGACAATAGACAAACCTGATACAACATCATAAATGATAAAAAATCGAGGATGAAGATAAAGGTGCTCCAGTCTCTAAAAATCCTGTAAAAATACAGGTACATTTTTTCTTTACTACAACTTATTAATGTGAATGACAGCAGCTGGAGCTGAAGTGTTAAGACTTTAAATTGATAACTGAGACAAACTTCTGATATAGTTCAGTGAATAATGATCATTTTTAGATCTCACTAGTTTCCTAAAAGCTAACAAAAAAGAAGTGTGTGGAAACATCCAGAGCTCGCGTTAGAATCAGGGTTAAGCAAGAGGAGACAAAAACGTCTCATACTGTAAAGAGGAGGAGGAGTCATGATGAAAATGAAATCTTTTAATTCAGAGTGGAAGAAATTTTTCTTACTTAAGCTTCTGAAGAATACAGTAATATGGATATGATGAGCAGTCATGCAGCAGGGAGAGAAACACACATACAGGTTGTATTCTCTGACCTCTCTCCAGAGGGCAGACAACTTATATCCTCTGACCAACACACAAGTCTCTCTGAGTGGATTTACATAGGTTAAGAACCCATCCTGGCTCTGAATGTAAAATAGTTAGTCTCAACACAGAGCTCACTGTCACGTACAGAAGCAGATAGTTCATCAGAAAACAGTCAAACTATTGAGGTATTCTTCTTCAGTAACTTTCTTTCTGCATTAGTTAATCTTCCACAGCAGTTGATTCAGAGGATTAAAGGTGGCTTAGTAATAAAATAAATCAATAATATCTTACCAGACAGGATGGCAGACAGGAGTTGCTTCATGAATCCAACCGTGAGGTAGAAACAGTTTTGAGTCTAGCTGCAAAGAAAGTGTTTCTTCCTCCTCCCGTGCAAGCAAGATATATATCAGTGATGTCCCTCCCTCTGTGTCTCTCTCTCTCTCTCTCGCTCTAATCACTACTGGCTACACTTACACAGGAAAATAGGAAATGCCTAACTTGTGCAATGACATATTCATTGTCATACGTCTTTTTTTTTGGTTTTGTTTTGGTTTAGTTTTTGTCACTGTTTGCATTAATTGTACTGTAGGCCTGTAAGTCTTTGCTGATTTTCTTGGAACACAGCAACATGGCTAAAAATGGGGATGAATAATAGGAGCTGATTGACAGGCAGCAATTAGGGCTGGGCTAATGTCTGAAATAGTTTAACAACTCTTGGATTGATTGAAACAGGTCAAAGTTTTATTTGTCCAACACTTTATGACCAAATACCTACATCCTCACAGAGCTGCTAGCATGGCTGTAGACTCACTGACTGAGAACAGTGTTGTGCTGCTACTAGAAGTGATGGCCAGATCTACTTCACTTCACTTCAGATGAGTCACAGCAGAGTGGTCAGACATCAGATAAACCATAACACATCTATTGTACAGAGGTTCAATAAAATACATCAACCAATCAATCACACTTTATTTGTATAGTTACATACACTATAGTATACACTGTTCACAAAAACAAAACTGATAAATGTAAAACATTCAATGATAACAGCACAGATTTTCTCTTAAAACTGTTATACGGTTCAGACTGTTGTAAAACGTTAAAAGTTGAAAATTAAATTCAAGATAAAGGACATAAAATGTTTACAGTTACATATCAACAAGGACACTGTCAGACATTTATAGCAAAAACAAGAATAATTTAACCATTTAAACCATTGTGGTTCTTTGGACCCAAATAACTGAACATCTGTAGAAAATAGCACCTGATATTGATAAAGCACACGTCTGAGGTTTTGATCAGTTAGTTTCTTTCTGTAACTTTATTTTTTAAAAGGACATCTAAAAAGTTTGATACCAGTTCAAACTACTGTAGTTCTTTAACTCCTGTTTTGCCTCCCTTCCAGCACCAGTTCTGATCCCAGTTATGATTCATACTTTATTTGTATAGTCACACAGTGTGTGTGTGTGTGTGTGTGTGTGTGTGTGTGTGTGTGTGTGTGTGTGTGATAGTATGCACAAAAATAAAACTAAATGCTTCACACCTTACAAACAACCCCATACACACAAAGTAATAACTGTAATCAATAAAACACTCAATGATACAGCACCCACAATGAAACAAGGAAACATTATCACCTCAGTTTGCAGAGAGGAAACACCGGAGGGCGGATTAGAAAGAGATGTTTTAGCAAGTAATAAAATAGAGGGAAATATATAACTAGATAAATAAATAAATAAAATAAAATTAAATCTCCATTTAACTGCTTTTGTCATGTTCTGTACCACCACCACCAGAAGCACCTCCACCAGAAGCTGCATCTTCATCAGTCGAGCTTTCAGCACCACCATTCCTCCTCCTCAGTGGAATACTCTCCGGATTTTGTCCTGCCACGTTGGGCTGAGCATCAGGAACATTTCTTTGGTTTTGTTGGTTTTGTTGGTTTTGTGGATTCTGGATACACCATATATCTGGAATTAAGGAGAATTTTTTTCATGTCATGATACAAACAACTCCAGCAGTGTAGTGCTAGTCTGTAAACAATGTCTAAAAGTTCAGATACTGCACTCTGAATCTTTAAAGAATTGGGATGTTCAGAGAAACTGCAGTGTTTATTTTTATTTACAGTCCATAGCTTAGAGGAATCAATCAAAGGAAATCAATTACTGAAAGATTGCTATCTTTATCAGGAATTTTGCTTTTTTTCCCCTCCATAGTGAATTAATTTGGCTGAATAACAGAAATGATAGTTCATCAAAATATTTTTAATTTAAAGACTAAAACTAGGGGAAAAATCAATAACTTAACTTGGCTCTAGGTTTAGCTAAGGTAAACTGCGTTACTTTATGGTTTCATAGTTGTGTTTATCCATTTCAGGTCACAAGGTTTCTGTTTGCTATTTGAGTGCATTCCTTTTCACCAGTTGATGATATATTTATATTTAAAATAAGAATTACAATATAGAATTAACTAAGATCACTCACATATTTTGTGTCGGTACACTATGAGAAGTATGATGATGATGATGGAAAGAGGTAGGCCGACACCTAATCCAACAGCCAAAGAAGTGTCGCTCTTCGGTTCCTCATCTGTAAATTATTGGAAATAACAGAGTAAGAACGTATTTAACATGCTGCACTGATATTTGATCACATTTTAAACACATTAATGTACTGTGTGTTTGGTATGTAGTGCCACAAGAATACTGAATTCTTTCAGCTCCACAAATCTTCAGACACTGATTTATTAGATAAACAGAATACAATAAAAAGAGAAACTTTGAACCACATAATGCTTAGTCTTAACATTATTGTTGAATATGCAAGCATACTACTTTATGTCAGTGATAATACCATCCCACAGAAATATGCACTATAAATATAATATCAATTGAAATATTAAAAGCATTAAAACTTGACTTTGACACAGAGAACTTCTTTATAAATGGGCCTCAAAATAAGTTAAAACTTCAGCAGACCTTTCTATTTGACATTATGTCCATTTTACAGACATAGCACAGTAAGTAGATGGCAGGCAGATGGAACGATCATCACACATTAAAAAATGAAAAGTAAACATTGAAGCACCTGGAGACACATCTTTAGTTGCAGTCAGAGTCTGGTTTGAAGTTGGGTTGTAAACTGTGCAGGTCACTTTCTGTAACCCAGTGACGTTGACTCTGCTGCTGATGTTGTAGGTGAGGTCTGCTTCACGAGTCATTGTGGTTTTTTGTGGTTCCAGTTTAGTCCCTCCATCCCCGCTCCATTTGAGTTCAGGTTCAGGGTATCCTCCATTTGTGCTGCAGGTTGCTGTCATCTCTGTTTGGTTCATCTCAATGTTTGGTTTCTGGAAAGGAGCTGGAAAGGGTTTAGTGTTATTTGAGCAGGAAGTTTAATTTTTAGATTAAAAAGAAAATAACAAAAAGTATTATTAGATTGTTTGCCTCTTATTAAAGCGTGACAGATAAAATCCTCTTTAGTGTGGTTTGAGGTTTTATTAATATTATAATTACAGTTTTTATTATTTTTTAAATATTTTTTATGTGATTTATGTCATAAACCACAGATCACTGTGAGGTGCTCCACAGTTGGCCAACTGGTTGCACACCCTTGTGCACTGTGGGCACACTTTTATCCCTCCACATATTGTTCTTCCATGTCAAAACCTGGGGCCAACCTTACCCACAATGTAATCTCTCTAAACAGATGAAGATGAGAAGTAGAGGTGATAAAGGAGGCAGGGACCTGAAGGTACAGATGGCTCCACAGATGCTTTCGAGACTGCTGCTGTACAGGACCCCGCACTCACCTCTCCGGATGTGGATATTAACAACTCGCCATCTACGTGGAAACATTGCTTGCTGAGAAACACACTTAGGCATGAGTGAGTTTAAATTTGCATTAAGGTGATCACTGGTTGTCTCTCTCTTCTCTCTAGCCGGCCTGCATGATGCTCGACCAACCGCAGTCTCCTCACGAGAGGCCGGAGAGCAGACGGGAGGCAGACCCTAACTGACTGCCTAAAGCCGAGTGGAGCACAGCGTGGCACGGCCTCAAAGGCAGCCAAATATCAGCAGTCTTACTTAATGCAAATTTAAATTCACTCATGCATACTTGTGCTGTGCAGTGTTTTCACAAATGCCCCTGTCTCTGGAGTCGTCTGTACCTTCAGTATGCATTGTTGCATCTCCCTCCTTTATCATCTCTGTTTCATCTTCATGTTTGCATCTCTTTCAGCTTAAAATGTCTGATTTCACCAGACCCTTTCTAGAAAATTGCAATGCGAGAAAGTGAAATATTCTATTAACAATTGAAGGACATTTGTTACAGTGAGCATCATACCTTCTACATACAGAGTTGTCTGGCAGACCTTATCTGAGCTTCCTACTTTTCCCGACACAACAACTTCAAGGGAGGTCTGGTCATCTTCCAGCATCAGCGGCTCAATGACGAGTGATAAGTTTCCAGAAGGTAACTGATCAGTGAAGATTTTTGTCCTATTAATATATGGCTGGTTTTGGTGTTCAAAATTTTCTTTCCCATGTCTGTAAACGTGTACAACAATGTATGGATAATTTTTGCCCTGCCAGTATATGCTACTTTGCTTAGGATTAAACGTCTCGCTGGAGGTGTAAGTGCATTGCCACAACCCCGGAGCTCCTCTGGTTCCATTGAGGTGGATTTTTTCAGATGAATTTGGCAGTAGTAGAACCACATGGAAAACTGTACAGAAAGAAGATTCATTAAAACCAAACAAGAACAGACCAGCTTAGTTAGAATGACATAACATAGACTCCACATATGGAGTGAAGCCTACAAGCTAGTTCAGGCAGGGCAACTCGAGCTGCGCTGATTACACACATGACATGCCTTATTCCATAATCACTAACCAAGCGCTCCCTTCCAATCTGGCGCTCTATTTAAACTGCACAATTTCCCAGCTCTCCCTCTGCTCTGTCAATGCCGCTGTTGCCCATCATCTGTATTGCTGCTGCTGCTCTGTAAACTATTATGCCTGCTGCGCTGTAAGCCCCCCCACCACCCCAGCATCCACCTGTAGGCTCCGACTGGGGTTTAAAGTATTTGCTCATCACTCCCCAATATCTCTATGAAAATATATCTGCAGGGAGTGATGAGGTCGGAGCCTAGACCAAAATCTAAATATGCTATATTGCTTTAATAAACATTTCAAACGTGAGTTGGCTGACTGAAATAGCTGTAAAACAGTCAGGGTTGACCTGTGGGGGTTTGACTCTACAGCTGTATGTATATAATAAGAGCATCCAGATACCAGCAGCAGAGAAAGCCAGAGACGCAAATGAAAATAATTTAAATAACACCAAATTCTTCAAACAGCTTTCCATTCCATTGACATAAACATGCCCAATTCACAAACAATAAACCAATATATTCTGTAGGATCTCCAGATCAGTGTTGCACATTGACTTTCATCATGAGAAACCTGAAGCAAAGCAAAGCCCTTTACAGGTTGTTCTATTTGATCAGAGGAGGCTGAGAGACTTAAAAAGTTTTGTCTCAGCTGCCCTGTCTGTCTGGAAACAAATCAACACCACATCGTAGACATTACATCAAAATGACTTTTACTAAATGAATGAATACCAAAATAAATACCTCACCAGATAGCAGTAGTAGTAGTAGTAGTAGTAGCAGGTTTGTAGGACACATGTCTGAACTGTAAAACAAAGATAAAACATAACAAACCCTGAGTGGGTAATGTGTCTGAGGAAGACTAATTATTGTAGTGCCGGTTTAGAAAAGGGTGATGAAGAAGTATTAGGTCATAGTAAAATAGCCCACTTACCCTATAAAATTGTGCCACACCTGAGCACGGTTGTCCTTCCTCTTGGCACATCCACCTCTGAATGCTGTAAAGAAAAGACAGACAGGCAGCGGGTTAGTGGCCCTGCCTTTACAATCAGCAGGCTGTAATTATTACAGTAGTGCAGGAGCCGGAAATAGGGTCTGGAGTGTTTAAGTCACCCTGAATAAGAGATTTATGGAGGAAGTACCTCTCTTGTCTTGACTCTGACGTTTCAACCTCAGGTTGGTTTCAGATGGGAAACAAAATACAGGTCAGACGTTCTTCAAGAAATAGACTGAAAAACTGCTTTTATATCCATAATTATTGTAGGTTATTACAAGACACTGACAGCAACTTAAATGTGCTGACAGCTGCTTCTTGATCGGATAGGGTCGCTGGCAGAGTGACAGGAAACTGATCAGACACATTCAAGTAAATAGCAGTGAAACTGAAAATAAGTTCCTGAAAAGTGACTGTGACGCTGTCACCACAACCCCAGAAGACCACCTGTCATCTGACAACAAACAAATGCTTACTGAGAGTGGAGACGAAGCAGCAGCAGATCCTGAGTCAGCTGCAAACAATATTCCCTCGGTCAATTTATCCTTAAAGGTGAAAGACAAGTTAGCGTCTGCACTCCTCTTGTGTTCTCTTAAAGTGTGTAAGGTATGAATGACGTGAATCAAAGCATAGCGGGATGTAGCCAGAGCGTTCAGACGCCGCCCAATCAAACAATATCTGTTTGGCTGCATTCTTTAAATTTATTAAATTTTTCCACAATAACAGTAAATAATCACTTCTTTCTTCAGTTGTTTGACACAATGAATGAAAATCCTCATTACCAGACCAGTGTGCGTGATTCCCAAATCCAAAGTTGTCCCAGCTACTGCCGTGCCTCTGGTTATTTTGCATGTGTCTCTCTTCCTCTGTGTATCTTGTTTTCCCCTGTGTTGCTGTGTGTGTGTCTAGGTGTGTGTGCGCGTGTGTGTGTGTGTGTGTGTGTGTGAGTGGGTTTGCCCTCCCTCCCTGCTCCCCCACATACTTGTTTACCAGCTTATCACCCAGTATCATCAGTCATTTTATCTGTAATCTACAGAGAAACACAGAGACATTCTCTGGTGCACATACGGTGGATATTTTACAAGAACAGACCAGATAAAGAAGGAGTGAAAGGCAGTAAACACATCAGCTGGTGCCGATGTCCACCACGTTGCATTTTGGGGATCCAGTTTAAATGGACCTGATGCAGACATTTTGAAACTTAAAGCTGCAGTCTGAACTCACAGATCTTGTGTTTACTCTCTATAAAATGGACGAAGCATGCACAGTAGCTGCAACTGATGCACAAGTATTTTAATTTAAAGTTTCCGTAGTGACCACATCCTCTAAAAATCATGTGCCTGAATGGGCCCTGCATGTGGTAGTGTGAGGCATGTGATGTTTTATTTGAGCTGTAAACCTGAAGCTTTCACACTGTGGGCATCATAACAGGCTCACCTTGTTTGCATAGAGGGCATGAAAGTCAACACTGTAGGTTTATTATGAGGACAGACAGTGTTCCTGGTTATGGTTTTGCACCGCCACCAAAAACAACAATGATGTAACAACCACAGAAAAACATCTGTGTATAATAAATCTTAATATCAGCCAAAGATGCTCCCATTAGTACCTTACCTACTCTTTTTACCTTACCTTACCTACTATTTTCTCAAAAAGAGTAAAGAGGAAATGGAAGTACGGTGGGCAGAGTTGTGCTGTGAGAAGTTCACAATGTGGCTAGAGGTCTGACGACAGCATTTGACAAGTGGTTAGTTCCTTATCAAACAACTGCTTACCACTGACCTCTATCACTGTCTTTACACTCACTGCAACCTAATCATTTCACCACTAAAATGTCCCTGTAGTCTGGTTTATGCTGTACGAACTAAAAGAGCTTTAAAGATTCATATATCTGAACACGTACAGTATATCTGTTTGTCACATCTGTTTCCTTTAAGTAAATGTGGCTGTCTGTGTGCTAGGCTGGAAACTGGAAAAAGGACAAGGAACTACGTTTACTGAGCTTTGGTTTGTAAATGAGCTGAGCAAGCTTTGACATTTGCATCTTTTCTCACAGTGAGTGACCACATCAGAGGACTTAAATGAATGCTTCTTTTCTGAAGGCGTGCAGATCATTTTGGACACAGCACAACAACATTCAGGTTGTTAATGACAGGCTGTGTGAAAACTCTCTCAGCCATAAACGTAAGCTGGTATGAAATAATCAACAGCTACTATTATGCAGGTTACAGGAATCTGTTAATATATTAGACAGTTATCACCTCTTTTACCTCTAACTTTAAATAACACAGATAGCAAACCAACAACAACTACTTTCAGTCTAGGCCCGAGTGCAGCTTGAGTGCGACGTGCGTGCTAACTTAAAGCAGTACTAATAGCAGCTTCACTCACAAAAACAATGTCGCAGCCGGTTACACAACCAAGGACAATGGCGATGAAGAAAAACAACAGCTGGCCTCGTGTTGAGGGATGTGCATTTCAAACAAGCTATGGAAACGTTACCCTCCTAAAGTGATATAGCCTCCTGTGTACGACTGAATATTCCAGCAGCTTATATGAAATGAACACATTAAAATAATCCAAATGAACCGATATAGTGAGACAAATATTAAGACACACAACTATTTACATTAATACGATTGATGATGAATTTCATGAAGGTTTGTACCATTCCCATTACTATTACCATTAAACTGACTATAACTATTGCTACTATTACTATTATAATGCTACATTTGCAACTACTACCATTGCACTGACTATTACTATTGCTATTATTACTACTACCACCATTGTAACTGATAATGTATTTCCATATTAAGTGGTTTGAGGATGCAGCAGAACAGAAGCCAGGAGCACAGGGTGTGCAGCATGTCCCTGATGTCTCCCAGCTCAGAGGTAGTAGCAGGGGAAGGGACTATTGCTACAGGTAGGGAGAGGACACCAAGTTACCGTAGCATAGCACCGTTGCTGTGGGTGGGGAAGGGCACCAGGCACATGAAGTTAGAAGTGTGAAGTGACATGAAATATAGGGCTCATAAGCATGAGTCAGTTCACACAGGCCAGGTAGGTTTATGTGCCAACCGCCCCTGCCTGTTGCCATTATATATGAGTTGAAACACTCCCTTTTTATCATGCATCACAGATCATGTAGTATGTGATTATGTCAACGGGAAGAGAGTTTGCATCTAGGTCAACACAAAGAAACCTCTGAAGTTTAAAATGATGAGCTCCAAAATTAAAGCTAACATTTATTTAACTTGTCTTACTTTTTTGAAGTAATATAACATTTTATGGGTTCTATCTTTGGGGTAGCCTACATCCTATCTGGTCTCGTAAAAGTACATTTTCAACACGTACAACAGTATATCTCAAGTCTCAAGTTTTGCATGCATTTAGTTGTGGTGGTTTCCATGTCCTTGTCACCTGCTTCATGACCGTCATTTCCAATATATTATAAAGATGTACGTTGGCCAGTTGTAGCCGTCCTCGTAATGTATTACTATAACATGTCTTCTAACTTCAAAGGTTCTTTTAAGTCAAGAATATACTTTCGGGCTCTCTCCACGTCTTTCCGAAACGATCCCAAATTGTTATTATATTGTATTTGGACATTTCCAATACTTACATGGCATCATGAAATATTTTCCCTCTTCTACGGATATATTTGTTTACTGTTCTTTTCCCCTCTTTCTCTTTATTATGAGTGAACTTTTGTAATATTTGAGACATAGGAATACTCGGGATACAGCTAGGATGGTGCCAGCTTGTTGCTCTGCCTGGCAGATGGCACGTGCCTCCATTTGCTTTCTGCTTGTCTCTCATTGTAAATTAATTACAAGGTGCTTCAATCACTCTCTGTCTGAAAAGACCTTCAAGCTGCGCTCACTGGGTGCAAATAGTTTCGACTTGTCCATAGCAGGAAACAATGGCAGGATTTTTCAAATGGGTTAATGGTTATACGTACATCTTCCCCTCTCCCTGCCTGTTTATTATTGAAGTTTATGAAACATTTATTATTAAAAGTTGGTAGCAGTGGCCTTAAATATTTTGCATATAAAGATTTTCACAAGGAGCGTATTGAGAGGCGTGCATGAGTCATGCAAAATTGTTAGTCATCCACTTTGACTAACAAGCCTTACTCAACGCTCCTGTGGATGATTTGAATTTTGTGTGAAGTATTTATTACAGTTTTAGGGACCCTCTCTGTAGGAGAGATGGATGAAGTTGGCTGGCAGGAGCAGAGGACAAAGGGGTGATGGTAGATGGCAGATGGTTTCCATTGATAAACACAACACAATCAAAGCCTTGTTGACATCTCTGTCTACAGGAACATGAGATGTGAGATGTTTTTTTGGTGCACATACGGTGGATATTTTACAAGCACAGACCAGATAAAGAAGGAGTGAACAGCAGTAAACACATCAGCTGGTTAAAACGGAATCGAGGGTGAAAAAGCCCCAAATGTGAGTTGTGCTTTTTTGGTGACACATACAGGGAGCTACAGAAACGGTGGAGGTGGAGAGAGGCGAGCTGGTGTGTGTGTGTATGTGTGCAACAATAAAGACTAAACTGAGCATGTGCAGAGTGAAACAGGTGATTTGTAACTCATTCCTAATTGAAGAAATTGTGTTACAACCATCTCCGGTCTCCCCTACTTACTGTAACCCAATCCAAGATGTTCTCCTGAACCGAACCAACTAGTTCTGTGTTATGTAGGCCAACGTAAGTTACGTTACATTGCCTAAATTCAATATGTTACACAATAACGCAATAATGAAGTCAATGCTGACATTTGGTTTGGCACGAGACCTCCATCCATCCATCCATCCCAACCACCTCCAATGTTCAACGTTATCGCTCTGTCAGCTGACATTGTTTTGTCTGTGGCATTCTAGCAAAGAAAGGTGTGCTGGTAAACAAGTATGCAGGGGAGCAAGGAGGGAGGGCACACACACACACACACACACACACACACACACAGTAACACAGGGGAAAACAAGATACACAGAGGAAGAGAGACACATGCAAAATAACCAGAGGCACGGCAGTAGCTGGGACAACTTTGGATTTGGGAATCACGCACACTGGTCTAGTAATGAGGATTTTCATTCATTGTGTCAAACAACTGAAGAAAAAAGTGATTATTTACTGTTATTGTGAAAAAAAATGTAATGAATTTAAAGAATGCAGACAAATAGATATTGTTTGATTGGGCGGCGTCTGAACCCTCTGGCTACATCCTGCTATGCTTTGATTCACGTCATTCATACCTTACACACTTTAAGAGAACACAAGAGGAGTGCAGGCGCTAACTTGCCTTTCACCTTTAAGGAGAAATTGACCGAGGGAATATTGTTTGCAGCCGACTCAGGACCTGCTGCTGCTTCGTCTCCACTCTCAGTAAGCATTTGTTTGTTGTCAGATGATGTTGTTAAAAGCAGTTTATTTGTAAGAAAGTGAAACCTTCTGTTATACGTGTCAGTAGATTTTCCAAGGTTCTAATAGACACAGCAGAAAAATCCTGCCTGGTAAGATATGAAGACTTTGCTGTGGTTGTAGTTCACTTTGTTTTTATCAGCATCAAAGCTCTGTGTCCAATGAGGAAATCCTTTGGTCAGCTGTGTGTAATAAGCAGGATAATAAATACACAGGAGTATTGTAATGCCTAAAGACAGACTGTAAATGTGTTCTCATACATGTGATGATTGAACTTATACTTCCTTTCACAGGGAAATAATGATCTTCAACATCCTGCTGCTCATGGACCTGACATGTATCTGTGGTTAGTTTATACCTTCACTTTATTATCTGTACAGAGAAAAGTAGAAAGTACACAGTCAGACTTTCATCTTTAAATCTGTGTGTAATAATATCTGCAGATATTGAAATCAGGAAGATCATTTATCTTCAGTTATTGCTTGGATTGTATTTATTATTATAAACTTTGTTATACTGTAGTATCTTTGTACTCTTTTGGTTTCCATGAATAAGAGTGAACTGTTATCAATGAATCAGTTAAATGAACAATTCAATTCCTGCCTGCATTTGACAAACATCACTAGACTCTCTACAGAAACACCTCGACATATTAAAGTTTGTCTGGTCCTCACTTTCCCTCTCTGTCTCCTCAACAGGAACATTTGTAGTGAATGTGACACAGACCTCCTATCAGGCAGAGGAGAACAATAACGTCACACTGGAATGGATGTTCACAACCAACACCGACAGTTCCCACAACTCCCTTTATATCTTCTGTGAACTGATTACTGATCAAAAGGATCCAGTCCTGTATCATCTACATGAAGGTGTCGAGGTCCCAGAGTCTCAGGATGAACAGTTTGCAGGACGAGTCCAGTGTGACAAAGACGTCCTCACAGAAGGAAAAATCAGACTCCATGTGTCCAAACTCAGGACTGAAGACTCTGGCCCGTACCTGTGTGATGTGAAAATTAATGATGGTGTTGGCTTGGGTAAATGTCAGCTCAATGTCACTGGTAAGTTAATTCAGTAAAATTCAGTAAGTCTACAATCATGCCAACAGCTTTGTGAGGCTGTACTGAACAACCATGCTCAGAATCAAACAGATTTTTTTTTCTAATTAGCACTTAACAGAAGCTATAGCTGAGTTGAGTTACCACCGTGTTTTGGACAAATTAATATTTATACCTGATTATGGCACAAAAAGAAACATTAGTGGATCACCGAAGTTAAAATGTATTCTTTGGGACAGAGCTGTGCTGCTAATGTGGCTAAAACTCTCCATCATAACTACCTAGAGCCATGAAACAGTGGCTAGCAGCAAATCCTTACATTTGAGAAGCTATAACTAGATATTGTCTGATGTTTGTACTGGAAAAGTTGCAGACTATTAATGTCTTTACTTATATGGATATCGTATTTTCAGTCAAGTAGTAAATAATGATTTTTTTGGTTGTTCAGCTGTTGATGAACCCAAACCTCATAAACCATCTGAGAGACCACAACCAGAGAATCGAGAAGAGGTTGGACTCTATGTTGGACTGGGAGCAGCTGCTCTACTGGTTCTCTGTGCTGGACTCGGCACTGCCTTCAAACTTTATTTTACAAGAAAAAAAAAGGGACCTGCAGTTGTATAGATATTGAGTTTCTCAGAGAAACAAACAATAAGGACTAAGAGAACAATGTCTGGCAGTTGGTTCAAGATCTCAGTCATGAAACCAAGAGACAGACTCCAAGACTCTCCAACATCTGTTTTAAGAAAACTACTTGTGATATGAAATGTATATGTTTGTGGTAAATGGTGTTCATGTTACAATGGGTTTGGTTTAAATTAAATACAGCATTAATAATTAATGTGAATGTCAATAATGCTTCCACTGTGATCCCAGATATTTCATGTTTAATATCACTTCAGAAGTAGTGCACAGGCAAGACATCTAAACAGTCAGTGTCGGGTTGATGTAGCTACATGGACTCCATTCAACATCCTCCATTATAAGATCTCTAAAATGTCACAGTTATTACTGTATGATGGGTTTTTCAGAGGAATAATTCAGATTTAGCATTCAGTTGGTTCAGTCACGGATCGCCCTGTTCTCCAACCAGCTGTTATTAATCATCAGTTAAAGACTGTGTCTGGAATTAACAAGACAACAGAATTTTAAAAGTACTGTACAGTTAATTATATCGTAATCCGACTGATGGACATGCACTGTCTTTCCTATGTACTGTTTATACTGTATACATGTTGTAAATAAATCTCTATTTACATGAGATAAGTTGTCATTAATCTTCTGTGTGTAATTCTTTTAATATCAGACATACAAATGTTGAATTTCAGTAGTGTACATGATGCAGATTTCAGATCTGTCTAATATGTAATTTTTGTCTAGTGTATTTGAGTATTTCTGCATACTGGGGTCCCTAAAAAGAACTGGAATTGCAGAAATAAGGTATGACTGTAAAGTCGAGAATTGTGCTTTCAATGAACCTAATTGTATTCATGTGTGAGGATGGGGACACACATCCTCACACATGAATACAATAGCTGCTATTTTGTTGTTGTGAGACAATATTTTGTATATAATGAATTTGACCATCATTAACAAAATGTACACAGGCTTATGTTACACAGAGATTACAGCACACATCAAATTACTTTTTTGTGTGACAATTAATTAATTAATTAATGCAATTATAACCTAAAGCTGTTATTTATACTACAGGCGAAAAGACAAGGATCATACTGATGCAGTTCTCAGTTGTGATTCTGGTTTTTGCTTCACAAGTTTTCAAGTTGGTCTTAAAGGACCAGTGTGCGGGATTCAGTCGTATCTAGCGGTGAAGTTGCAGACTGCAACCATTAGAATACAGCTCGGCCTTCCAAGAGTATAGGAAAAATGACGGTGGCCTCCAAAGGCCCCTATCTTCAGTTTATCTGTTCGGGACTACTGGAGAAACACTGTAGACTCTGTGGATGAGGAAACACTCTGTCTGGAGATAAAAATGTCTCAGGGGACAAAGAAAACACAAAAACACAACAATTCTGATTTTCAGGTGATTAGGGGACACCAATGAAAACATACCTATGAACATTACATTACATTCCTAGCAATAGCAATAGATCCTCCTAAATGTTACACACTCGGACCTTTGATCCAATAATCAGATGCCCATATGAACACTGAAACAGGTTTTGCCTCCCGTTATCATTCCTCCTGTTCATACCGTACATTAAGAGAAGCATTTCCAATGCAACACAATCCCAGTCCTCACTCTGTGCAAAGATACAGTGCATTTCCAAAGTTTATCTGAAGTTAATGAGGCTGCAACCAACCAGTCTGTGACAAATCAAGTAGGTATCTTCTAGAAATTGTCTGGTACTTTTTTGCGTCTGTAGATCGAAAATTAATTCACTTTTACATTCAGTTTCTGAATGGATTAAACAAACAGGATATACATAGAGTAGAGGGAGTAGAGTAGTGTCCCAGAGGGGAAATGTGTCTTGTGCACATTGCTGCAATCCTTTGACTCGCATCAACATCAGAAAAAACTAAAAAAAACATCAGAAAACCTAAAAAAACAACATGAAACATCTTAAAACATGAAAGAGACACTTGACTATGCGTTTGATACTGACAGCACAGCAGCTTAAAAAGAAACTGCTTACTGTCTGCAGAGGTGTACAGCTATGGCTCACAAATCCACAAAACATGTTTCTTGTGTTTCAGTGCAACATAGACACATACACACACAGACACACACACACACACACACACACACACACACACACACACACACACACACACACACAGTGCAGCAAAGGAATGCTACCATGCTACCATGGTTACAGCAGAGGGAGAGTAAACAGAGGGTAAAAAAGAAAGAGAGAGAAGGAGGGAGAGCAGGGTAGAGATGAATAAAGAAAGGGTGGTTGGAGGGGGGTATTTAGTGGCTAACTCGACTGTTAGAGGTGACCTTGTGGATTTTCAGCTCAGCTCTACAGAGATTGGAAAGCGCCTCACAGACGCAAAGTGAACAGGACGGAGAAACAGAAGTCTCATTGTCACAGAGGTACGATGAATTTTACCTCTGATAGGCTGGAATAGTGTTTACATGTGTCACAAAGCTGCTAGCATGCAAGGTCAAAATCAGTGCTTCAAATCATTGGTGCTTTTTCTGGGAAGTGATTTTTTTCTCTCCGTGCATAACAAATGTAAATAGTGGCATCGTTCTGTGCTCGCACGATATGCAACTAAAGGATCAAACCCAGGAATATCCATGCAGATATACACACAACACATTCAGCGTCTGCAAACTCAGTGTGTCCGGCATTGTGCCTTATTCACTTGGATTAAGAATGTTGATATTGACAGTGGCAGACATACTCACATATTTTACTGTATTCCTCGATATATACTCCTTATATATTGTGTGTGTAAAACCAGAATCTAAAAGTAACATGTTAAGGCGGTAGATAAATGTAGTAGGATGAGTGCAGTTGCATGAAATAGAAATATTCAAGTATATGGTAACTGTAAATAATGTTACTTTCCAGCAGGTTACTTACTGATGTTTGAATGATGTGTGTGCAGAGTTCGTCTGTGCTCATTGAAAATCAGATTTTAAGCCGCAGAGCCTACAAGTGTGATTTGTGACATCCCAAATAGTTTGGTAAACAGTCCTGGTCCGGTATGCGTGATGTAGAAACCTGAAGCCACCAGTGCACACACAGTGAAAATGGACTTGGATGGAGACTTCTTGTGTCCAGCAGGAAAACTTTAGAAATGATTTGCATTTGCAACATTTGCACACTAGATTCTCACATTTTTAATGAGGTAGAAGGACTAGATGCCTTTTTTTTACCTCCTTTTTTGCAGAAAAGACACACATTATTGTTCCAAGCAGACTATTTGTATACATATCTGGAGGGGATCTTTAAACTGAGGGTGTCATGCATGCTTTTGCACCCTCATCCAATCCTCCTGTTCATACCGCTGCATTATGAGATGCATATTCCTAATGTACTTCCCTTGTAAATGATGGGTTTATCTGAAGTTATTATGAGGCTTCAGCAGTCTCACTTAGACAAATAGCAGCACACACAGACACAGTGTGACGTCACTGCTCAGATCCACTAGATCTTGATATATAGTTGTTTGCTGCTATATTATTGTTTTAAAGGGGATTTTCGGCAGATTTTTACCCTAGTCTTGATCACTAGAGGTCACCGAGTACTGTCGATAGACACAAAATGCAATTAAAATGTCTGTGCAACATCCCCTCAACATCAGGGCCCTTACGTGACAACAACATGCCTTTTCAACTCATACGTTGTGCAGAAATCGTACAAACAGTACTGTGGCCTACCTGTTTTTACACTGCTCGCTTCACCGAAAGCCCAGAATAATCGATCACAGAGATAATGCCTTCGCGACAAAAAAAAGTTTATTTCCCCCCTCAAAAATGTCCATGTCTTCACACACTACTCTCCGATTTGCACACTTCCTGCAACAATTTCTTCATCTGCGTTTCCCTCCAACAAGTGAAATTCCACTGAAGTCGATTATTCTGGGCTTTCGGTGACGCGAGCGGTGGAAAAACAGGTAGGCGACAGGACTGTTTTGTACGGTTTCTGCACAACGTATGAGTTGAAAAGGAATGTAAGGGCCCTGATCATGTTGCACAGACATTTTAATTGCATTTTGTGTCTGTTAAGAGGAGCAAAAGGCACTCTTTAGGATATGCCCCCAAGAAGTGTATTATAACTAACTGGGAGCTCTGGCCATTAGCTGCAGGTTCTCCAGTTTGCTAGCACCGGTTTTGGTCGTTGCTTTTCCTATCGACAGTACTCTGTGACCTCTAGTGTCGGGTAAAAATCTGCCGAAGTTCCCCTTTAAGTCTCATAAAAAAAGGAACCTTTAACCTTCAGATAATGTCAGCTGTCTGTAGATAACTTCCTGTTTTGACCACAGCACTCAATCTCACAGACGTAAGCACTTTCAATTTCACATTTAGGAAAGGAGTAAACATCCAATACTGAAAACAACAACTACACAACAAGGACGGTGTTTCTAATGTGGTTTTATTTGCAGTAACAGTCTCGAGTCTCAGCAGCCATCAGTCAACCAGATGAAACCAGAGGTCTGTATTTACATTAATGCATTCTGCTTCTAAAGAATTCTTCCTCTTTTGTTCCTCATAATGTTTCTGCAGTTTCCTGCTATGATGAGCAGTGACGTACTGTGCAGCTGCTTAAGTCACACATACAAAGGTGATGCAATATTGGGCACCCGGTTAGCTCAGTGGGAGGAGCTGGCGACCCATGTACCGTGTTTGTGTGTGTGTGTGTGTGTGTGTGTGTGTGTGTGTGCGTCAGAGACAGACAGTGAGTCTGTGGTCTCCCCTCTTCCCAGAAGTTGTGAGAATTAGAAGAACAAAATGAAAGTTATCATTTACAAGAAGTAATGAAAGGGCACCACTTACCACTAAGGTTGCAGCGTGTGTGTGTGTGTGTGTGTGTGTGTGTGTGAGACATGGATGTGAATCAAGTGGATTGAGGAAGTAATGGGCTTACATAATTGTTAAGCAGTGTTGGGCATTAACTCATTACTAATAATATTTCATTAATAACATTACTATCCCCATTAACTAGTAGTGTAACTAATTACTAATTAATTTTAGTAATAATACACTATTCCCTATTTTTTAGGGAGTAGCAGAAAAGTAATATAACTAATAGTGTAGCTAGTTACTGTTAGCAGGGATTGAGTAAAGTAATAATATTACTTTTTAAATGAGTAAGAAATTTATTTTTTTGAGTTACTAGCTCCACTGTTATTAAGTGCTTCATCCAAGTGATTAAAAAGGGTATGTTCAGTAAATGGAAACACTTGGAAGCACAGAATAAAGCCATTATATTCAATATTAAAAGCCAATATTTAAGTTAATTTAAGACTATATTAAAATGTGTAAGTTGTGTGTGTGTGTGACAGAGAGTCACACATACAAAGCAATATTGTGATGTACATTGACACTTCCAGCTCATATCCTGTGAGAGACTTTGTTAAAGCTGCTCTCACAAACACAGTGTGTGTGTGTGTGTGTGTGTGTGTGTGTTTGTCAAAGAGACAGAGTGAGTCTGTGGTCTCCCCTCTTCCAAGAAGTTGTGAGAATTCAAAGAATAGCAACATGAAAGCAATTATTTACAAAAAGTAAATTAAAGGGTACCACTTCCAGCTAAGGTTGTATGACTGCAACAATCTGTGGGTGAGTGAGTGAGTGAGTGTGTGTGAGTGAGTGAGTGTGTGTGTGTGTGTGTGTGTGTGTGTGTGTGTGAGACATGGGTGTGTGGACAGGAGCGAAGTGGATTGATGTTACTCAAGTAATAGGTTGACATGGTTATTAAGTGCTTTATTCCACTCTCTGAAGCACAGAATAAAGCCATTAGAATGAGTATTAAAAGCCAATATTATAATTTAAGTAAGCTACAAAATGAACAATGAAAAACTGTAACAATCCCCTCGACATGACAGAAAAACAAGTCTAGCTTTCCCAGGTGAAGTGGCGTGCCTGAGAAAGGATTACCACATAATGAAATGTGCATAAAGGCGTCACGGTTTGTGCTATTATTGGCTTTGTTCCATCATAAGAAATAAGGCCCGTATTACACACAACTCCAACTTGTACATTTGCTCCTCGTGTTGTCATTAAAAGGTTTACACAGACGTATCACAATAACACTCTCTGTTAACTCATTATTAAGACAGTGTTGACTGTAAAAACAGACGGGATGGTGCTTTAAACGCTTCATTCTCAGGTATCAGCTCTGTTATATAACTGACTGCTGCATCTTGCTTTATCCCACTGAGACTGTTCTCCCCCTTTGTACTCACAAATCACTGGCAGTCGTGAAATGTAACTGATTACATTTACTCTAGTTTTAGTGCCTTAGTCTAAAACGAGTATCTGGTACAGATAGTGTACTTTTTAGTGTATTTTATAATAAATAGTGTAACTGCTTTATTGTCTTTATTAGATTTACATAAAATGGAAATTCATCTTCGGCACTGGCACATGGGACCACACACAACAATACAATGCACAATGATTGAAGTTACAGAAGAATGAAAATGAAACACTAACAAATAATAATGTTTGCATCTTGTACCATGAGCTGACTCAGAGGTTCCCACAGGTTCAGGTCGACTGCCTGGGAAATTTTGCGGGTTTGGGTGGGTGTGTAAGATGACAAAGCAGCATTCAGAGTAACCTATTAATAGCTTTTCGTTACCCACCTACCATTTTTCTTAAGGGAGCCCTTTTCTGTCATTGAATATAATATGAAATGTCAATAAAATATGTCATTTAGTTTACTCAAAGCATCACAGTAACAGTACAGAACAAGTGCACTGAACCCAAACAGCAGGAAGTCTGTGTAAAACGAGCGATTTGGATGAATTTGGAGTGAATTATTTTGATCAGAGATTAGTTTTCCTGATATTTTTAGAAACTTTGTATACAATTCTTTGTCTGTGTATTTTTTTATTTTCTAATAATCTTACAAATTTAATAGGCTTCTTTTCTGACAAATTCAGTGTTTTTCACTCATTGCTCTATTAGTACTTTGGTTGTTTGAACTGAACAGACTACATTTATAATCCAGGACGAGGCTAAACAAAATGCTGAGTTATAGTCCTACTGCATCTTTTTCTTTCATAAAATCATGAAGACCTTGACCCCCACATGAAGCTTTGGCGACCCCTAGTGGGAACCCCAACCCCAAGCTTGAGAACCACTGACCTTTTTGATGCCTGCAGACATCAGCTGATAGCAGACATGAGCATTTCCTTATTTTGCCTGCATCTTTACCAACACAACAGTTTTTTGCATTTCTGACTCATCATTTTGGTTTCATTTTGTGGGGAAAAAATCCAAATGAAGAACCACTCATTTGTTTTGGTTGTCTGACAGTGAATTGAAGAGTTGATTTGGTTCTTTCAGGAGGAGATTTTAGTTTTATCAAGATTTATAGAAAAATGCACGAGAGCACTGTATCCACCATAATTGGACATTTTGCTCATGAAAATTGAATCTTATGAGATGTTTCCTTTTTTGAATGTTGGAAACTGTACATTATGATTTGCCATGTGACCATCTTGGCTGATATTGTTTAAGTGGCTTGTAATCCCATAAAGACACCTAAGTAAATAAAATCAATCAATAAAATACATGTAAATCAGATGTAAATCGGTATAATAAAATTTTATAAAAAGTTGCTGCTGTTATTCAGCACTACTCTACTCTCTCTTACTCTACATAACATTCAAAACAGACTGCACCGCTAACTGTGGTTGAATAATTAACTCAAAGGTCTTCTAAGTACATTTTCGGGAGCTTTTTATTGGATCTTTATGGCCTTTATCAGCGAAGGGCTCAGCTGACATCACACAAAGTGTGGTACTTGTGATAACAGGTGGTGGGGTTAGGCTTATCTGTCTGTACTCTTGACACAGAATACAGAAACAGCCGCCCTTTGACATGGTGAGCTATTCAAACAGCCACTATATGTGGGCACACAAAGGAATGTTTAAAAGTCAGATGCCCAGTTTGATTGCAACCAATTATCAGCCAATATTAGCTCTAAATAGTTTAATCAGGCTGATCGGAAGAGCTGATGAGGTGACGTATTTATATTATTCCACAGGAAAAGACAGAAATGTTGGTGGACACGGTGGATAAAGTCTCGTTTTAGTTATTAACAAGCCTCCTCTACGCACAGCTCACCCGCTGTCGTAGTCCAGGGGATGTACAATAATGTAACATAGATGCAAGATGGCTGGCCCGTGTGGTCCGATCCAACAGACGAGCTGCTGCAGCTCAAACTGCTGAAACAGTTAATGCTGGTTCTGATAGAAAGGAGTCAGAATACACAGTGTATCACAGTTTGTTGCATATGGGGCTGCAGAGGATGATACGCTGATATGCTGATGATGTGCCAATTAATTTCTTATGTGTCTATTTTATGCTGTTAGCCTCATGCTAACTCCTGCGCACTGTAACACTCTCCCTAAGAGATTTTCCATGGTATTCATGTGTTGTTAGCATCATGCTAAGCACTGATTAGCATCCAGTTAGCAGATTACCTGGTAGTGTAACAGCAGCAGGCTATACTTACACCGCACAGTGCAGCTAAAGTATATTTATGGAAATAAGGTTTGACAGAAGCGAGAGAAGGAAACTGTTGTGACATTACTACCCTGTCCTTTACAGAACCAAATGACAGTCAGTCAGTTATTTTAGTTGAATAAAGTACGTAATGCACCAGCTGCCATCTGTCCCTCCACCCAGCATCGTGGTTCTGGGAGTACTGGGTGTTCTGGTGCACACAGCTCCACCCCTGGCTGCCATCTTGTCTGTCCTCGCCAACACGGGAACCCAACAGGAAGTTATTTCACTGCTTTAGAGAATCAAGAGCCAGTTTTTCCATCTGCTCTGCTCACCCGCTCTTTGGGATCTGGTGGTTACATTTTTTTAGTTCAGTTGCTACCAACAACAGCTGTTGCTGTACAAATATTGTTCTTCAGCTTGACCTCACTCTTTTACCTTAACCCCCGGCTGTCTCCTAAACAGACAACTTCCTGATCTAATGAGGGACACACACACACAAATTCAAAGCTATAAAGTTTATTAAATGTGTTCTCTTCTCTTTTGAATGATATCAAAATGAAGTTATGTGTCATAAAAACCTGTGTTTATAGTCTAATGGTCTTTTTACTGCCATAACCCTGTCTTCACAAGGCAATCTCCTCCCACATTGTGCACTAAGCTGTCCACAAAAAAGGAAGAAGCCATATAATTACAAGGGAAGGGTGACTGTGGGAAATACGTTCTCTCTTTATGGATTGAAGTGTAATAAATATAATTAAACAGATTTAGCTTTATAAATAGCAGCATTGTCATGGAGAGAGGTGGTTTGTTTAGAATACGTGCAGACACATACGTTTCCAGAAGGAAGCGCCACCGGCCATGGGGAAGTGAACAGTTTATACATATTGTATACATAGTCAGCAGTCTAGATATAGGACAAGAAGGGGGGACTGTAAAAAGACATGAAGAGAGATGCGAGGGGAAGTCAGCTGCTCCATGGGTTGATACGGTTTACGTGTAATCTGCACAAGTGGAGCACTGACTTATGCAAGGGTTGCAACGCAAGTATGTGTCTCAGTTTTCCAGTCGTTCCCAGTGGCTGCAATACTATACAGCGACTCCAGTATGCAGAAATATTCAAATACACAAAAAATAGTACATTCACACCACATGCTAAATACTACATTTGTATAGATAAGGTCAATAAGGAGCCCTTTGAAAATGGTCATGCCAGTGTTTCCATTCAGTTCCATCTAGCCCCCTTCTCAACATGCTAGAATGATACTAGTATTTTCATCGCTACAGCCTCTGAAAGACAGTGTGGAGTGAAAGAGATAAGGTTAATGTGGTGACACTGTAGGTCAGATTTCACGGGGTCACAAGAACAGGCAACCACAAAGAAAACAGTGACACATAACCAAAAGGGCCTTTATCTAGTCAGAGACAGGAGGACAGGTGCTGCAGCATTCCCTTGCAAATAACCACAAACCAGTCGCTGTACCACACTGTGAACACACTGGGGTTTTTGGTGCACCAGCGTGGTTGCACACCTTTGTATAGTAGCAGCTTTGCTTTCACCCTAAAAACTAACCAGAAGCTTGATGTGCAATCCCTAAAAAACTACCCATATATGGACCCTTATTATGATGTTTTTGTGGATCTTATAAAACCATAGTAACAATGGCCAAGTCTCTCTTTTAAAACACTTTCTGTTTGAATAAAAGATAAATAAAATACACACACAGATCCCAACAAAGATCTTACAACAACTTTAATTTGGAAGAAATGATTGGTCTAGTAGAAGTTTTAGTAGTTCAGTTGTACTGTGGGCCACAAGATGGCAGCAAACACAGCGATTCTATGTGGGGTAAAAAACTGCTCCCTTGGAAAATGAGAGGCGGGTCCCAAAATAGGAGGAGAGTGGGCTGAGGGGTGAGGGAATGGGAAAAAAGATGAGAAGAAAGCAGAGAAAAAATGGACAGAGTGTTTGAGTCTGCCATGCTGTCACATGTGAAGAGAAATACATCCATCCAGTGTCCAGAGAGTAAGACCTGTCTTTGTTTTCCTCCCCCTCCTTCCCTCCTTCTCTCTCTCTCTCTCTCTCCCTCCATCCTAACCATCCCCCCCTCCCTCTTGTATCTTGTCAGACAGACAGATGAGGTTTTCCAGTCAACCTGCAGACAGATGTGGAAGCTGCTGCTGCTGCTCTCACCGCTTGAGGAAGCTGGATCAATCAGCCTGGAATCAGACGGCAGCAGCATGCCTCCTTAACCAGCACTGAGCTGTCCACGTAAGTACCTCACACTCACATGCACATGTGCTGCAACATGGGCGACTTGTTTCATCACTCCTTTCTTTCTGCTGCATGTACAGAACACATGTGTGCTGCTGAAATCTCTGCACACATGCTGTAAACGGGGATGTTTCTTTGTGCTTTGAGCCTGTAATCAGGGGTCGAAAACTGACCCTCATTTTCAAAGGCAGCTGAACATTTGGTGTAGGACATTATTCAGGTTTCATTTCTCTAATTAGAAACATATGGGCACTGAAATCAGAGAGAAGCCTACAGACAGCTGAGTTGTGATGTAATCTGTCAGCCAAACCACCCATTCTGTTTCTATCGCCTGATCGGAAAATGAACAGTGCTGCTAATCCAATGCCCAAAAGTTGTCATGTAGTTGCAATTTAAAAACTTAAGTTATGTATTTTCTTCAGGGGTCAGTTCAGCCAAATCACAAAGCACACACTTCACTACTCTGACGATACATTCACATACTGTACATACACCTAGTGATCTTTCAAAAGCACAGATTTAACAACACTGCCACAGTTTATACTGTTTGGCTATTTCCAGAATCCATAAAGACTCTTCAAACCACCTGAATAAAAATATAATCTCTCCATCGTATATATATATAAATATATAAACAGTTTTTAACATGTTTCCCAGGTTGGACAGGACATTTCCAAACAAATATGCTAGCAAGAAGTAAAACTCCTTGCTTACATTGTATTAAAAACTATATATATTAATGTGTAATTGCATATGAATATATAAAATAATTGAATCTATGAATGTGGGCAAATATAACTGACAATAGACTTTTGGTTTGTGTGGTAAGATCAGCCTTTTAGCGGCCTCAGAATATGTGACTTTTGGGGAGGAAGGCAGGAAATAGTGTGATTTATAATAGTGTGATATAATAATGTGTCATATGTTATAGATCCTTATATGATGGTTATATGTTGATTATATATGAAGATATCTGTTTGTAATCTCTGATCTGCATATGACTGCAGAGTCTGTAGGCAAGGGACAAGATTTTGGTATCAGATTAGTTTTGGTTTCCATCTGAAGTTCGGGTAGTTTTGGAGGACTTCGGTCAGTCCAGAGCAAAAGATTTGAAACGCTTTGGCTGGAATATCTCAGAACCCATCGGCTTTTATCTGATAATGATTTAGCCTCTTTATTTATTTATCTGCAATCAAACAGATAGTTTTGGAGGTTTTTTTCGTGTCTCAAGTTGGTAATCGGACTGTACACAATGACAGGAGCACGGAAGTGGAAATCTTGGCTCAGATATCTGCTGGCTACTCCGGAAGCCCTGAAACATTGGCCATTGTAGTGTGAGTATTTATTATTGTAACCATGACGATGAATGAATGTTTTCCTGAACCAAACAAAGTTGTCACATTAGAAAACAGTTTTATTTTTGTGTTTATTAACATTTTTAGAAAGAGTGACGTCGTCCTGGCGGCGTCTGATCAGAAAGAGCTTCTGTGTGTCGCTGTAGAGGTCGTGGACAACTAATGTATTGTGTTGTTTAGTTTGGACGTATACAATTTGTCTAAAACCAATCTAATCAAATTGAAAGAAAAGGTTCTCATTTGTACAATTTCTATTCCCTTATTCCCTTACATTTTTCAGGTTTTTTGCTGTGGATGTGAATTAGATTTTCATTTTGAGCACCTCTTGGACTTCTGAAGCATATAGATACATGTTTTATACTTGTATCAAATGTATATTGATGGAATAAATATATATAAAATAAATAATAAATAAATAGTAACCTAATGTAGATTAAATTATTTGTGAGACTGTGGTACTTGTTTGTGTTCTGCCTCAATACATGTAGACTGTCATGGTCCTGCTCTTCGTTGAAATATTGCTGCTCCGCTGTGTTTCGTACCCAAGAGAAATAGTTTGGGAAAATCAAGTTTTGCTCTCATTGTATCCGAGCAAACTAACAAGAGCGGTCTGGAGATTAGCCCGTTATGAGACTCTGGAGTTTTGTTTTACAGCCTGCTAACTTTTCTACTGTACAACAGTCAATAAAAATAAACCGCCTTCAGTCCTAATGCATGAAAAATGCATGAAGGGGGACATCTTCAGCAGCTGCCACTGCATAGAACTGTTGTATACAAGTTTGAGAGAGGAGGTTATAGACACATAAACATTCTTTATGGGAACACGCAATGGAGTAAACTCTGGATGAACTACTATACAACAGTGAAACCTGTTGTATGTGCTATTAGTTTGCACAACATACACATTTTTAGGATTTATTTGCACTGTTAATTGCTAATGCAGCTTTACAGATGTGAAATATGATCAGTGTGCGAACTATACCATGGCTTTCAGGGGAGTTCACTTTTTTGTGTGTGTGTTGAAAAAGAATTTTTCATGCGGAGAAACAACAGAAACTCGCTGAGCTGAACGGACTTAATGAGAATGACTTGTCAGTTTTGTCTGTTTTACTCTAAATGGGACCATCATTTACTAAATGAACATCATGCTGTATGGAAGAAGACTTGAAACTAGAGATTGAGACCATAAACTCATCAGGAAACTGTTTACTGAGCCCATCAATCAATTGAGAAGTTGGCTCATTAATCCATAAGACTGCATGGTATCAGGTTTTATTGCAGCCAATGGAGCTCCTGTTGGCCATTACAGAGAATTACCTTTAATGATTTCAGTATAGGAACCGATGGACTGAGTGCCACAGACTCAGTAGGGAAGTATTGAGAGACAGACTAACAAATTGTTACACCAACCTCATCCTAAATGCAGTAATTACAACAAATTAGATGTTGTTGTGTAGTTGTGGAGGGCCTTGGCTGTGCATCATTAGATGTTTTATAGACATGGGAAGCAGGATGAGCTCACTGCCTACTGAGTCACCAGGACACCATGCTTCATGTTTTTTTCATAAAGTTGTGCTGTTTACTGTTTTATTCTAATTTGATAAAAGATTTTGTTTTTTAACATTTTCTTTGGGCATTTTCACCTTTATTGGACAGTAAGAGTCAGACAGGAAATGTGGGGAGAAAAATGGGGGCAAGGCTGTTAAGACCACCTTTGTTGAGTCCAAGACCAGGACTAGTTGGGGGTCCAGAAAGATTCAAGTCCAAGTCAAGACTGAGCCCAAATAAGAGAGACAAACTCGAGAACTCTGTATTCATTTTTGTGTTTAAACCTCCAACCACTTGATTGTAGTGTTGTAAATGTTAAATAAGAGTTTTTACTCATATTTTATGCATAATGATAGTGTGTTCTTTATATAGGGATGTAACAACACAGTCAACTCATAATTCGACACAATTTGATTCTATACTGGGTTCACGGTAAGATTTTCTCACCATTTCTTCAATGAAATGAGATTGAAGACAAATTATGACTGAAAAAGATTTCCTTATTAGACAAAATATATTTTCTCTTATATGTTCTTTATCAAATTATGAAATCCTTTTTATTTCCGAGATAGGGTATAAAATGTGCAATACAATGCATAAGTCTTTTTCATCTCACCCATTTGAATATTTTTTTGGCAGTGTAAGTGTCTCGTGATATGTCTTTACTTCCTAACCTTATGCTGTGAAAGTTTTCCTTAAATTAAATTGAAAGAAATTGCAATATTAATATATATATATATAACTAATTCTTTGAACAAACAAACTTCATAAAGGGTTTTGTTTTAAAGGAGGAAGTTAAAAAAATTACCAACGATTCCAAGACAAGTCAGAGACAATACAAAATAAGTTTTCAGTTAGGACTCGCATACTACAGTTCTGTTTAAAGTAAAATTCATTTTTAAGTGCGTCAACTGTAGAATTCCAAACAGTATAATATAATAAGCTCTACATTTCATTACGCTGCATATTTGACGTTTTTGGAAATGAACCCCCCACCCTCCATTTCAACTTCATCTCTGCAGTAGTGTGTGGAGCTGCAGCTGCTGAGAGAGAGGGAGAGGAGCGAGAGACATTGAAAAGAGATGATGTGACATGGAGGTGTAGAGAGAAAGAGAGAGAGAGAGAGAGAGAGAGGAAGGGAGGATTAGGGTGGGTGCCTGCGGTGGAGCATGATGTCAGAGGAATGCATGAGCCTCTCCTTTAACAAGCTGGAGCCACGAGCAGCGCCGGGCCACCTCGCACTCGTTCCTCACACACAAACATACAAACACTTTCACCCCGGTTGACTCTCTCTTTCTTCGTGTCTCCCTTTCTTCTCTCACTTTCAGACTGTCTCTCACACACACACACTCTCGCTTTCACAAACACACGGGATGAGAATCACAAAGACAGCATGACACTTGCTGTATTCAGCAACTTAAAGGAGGTTTATGTGCAACATTTCTCCCGTATATATGTACAGAAATGCTTCACAAGAGAGTTGAATTAAAATAAATACACGAGGTATCACGCTCACATTGTCATTAAGGTATTGTGGAATGTGTTTTCAGCGTTGGATTTTCATCTTCGCTCAGCCCTCCCTCCCAGCATCCGGTCCTGCAGCTGGAGCTTGTTGCAGGGATTACAGAGATGGAGATGGAGGAAAGGAAAGCAAAAGAGATGGGGGGGAGGAGAGAGTGAAGTGAAGAAGGGGTTTGGTAGAGAGAGAGAGAGAGCAATGACAGATGAATGGAAAGAGAGAGAAAGCGACTGATAATGTGTGGGAGAGCCAGACGCTGGGAACAGCTGGAAAGACGATGACTAATATTAGCAGTGAGGTAAGACGGTGGAGGATGGAGAGGACAGGCTGTGTGTATGGAGGGCAGCTGCTACTGTAAACCAACCACAGTGAAGTCAAGTGTATTTATAGCAGCACAGTCATGACACCAGAAATGGGACTTTAATGCCAAATTGTTTAACCCCTTTACACCCACTTTTCTGGCTTTTGTCGCCCCTGAAGAAGCTTTAAGGTTGTTGAAATGAAATGATTCCACCCTGTCTGACTGTATCAGCATGTTCCAGTTCCTCACTGAAGCTGAATACATGGGAGATTTAAAATGCTTAAATAAACCCAAATGAAACAAAGAAATAAAGTGAAAAATAAGTGACACATTAAGTGCGTTTCCATCCACTTGATTTTATGTGCCTTTTCAACTTTTGCATGAGTGAAAACGTTAAAAATTTAGAAAAAAAAGTCAAATATAGCAGAAAAGTTTTTACACAGCTGAGGTGGGAAAGCCTAAAAACAAAAGGCAACAAAAAGCAATGGAAATAGACAAAAATAACAAAGTACATGAAGCACTTGACTGCAGATTAACATCAGATCTCAAATTAATACATGAATCAAACTATTTTCTGTGTTTTCCATATGGTTTTCAATACTCCACAGAAACTTATAGAAGCAAGTTGTTTTCAGTTAGTTGCAAACTTAAACTTTAACAGGGCCATACCACCTACCTAAGACATTCGCAGACATCACACTGTCTCACAGATGAAAGACTGAAAATGTGATACTGACTTTGGGTGTTTAACGCTTTTACTACATTTGGCACAACTCTCACAAAGCATGACCAAAGTTTCCAGAGAATATGTTTTTTTTTTCATCCTCCACGCCTGTTATTCGACATGCTCAATGTTTATGTGTCTTTTTTTATATATCACATTCTCGGAAAAGATCTTTCAAAGAAATCTGGAATACAGTCAGGGAACATTTCTATAAATAATGTCCCGTGTGGCTAGTAAACAGGCTGTAGAGAGAGGGGAAGCGTTTCCTTGAGAAACACAGTGCAGGGGTACCTCAAACAGAATAAAATGTGTGTATGTCTTGTAAAGCCGCTAATTATTTTTGTATAATCTGTAATCCAGTTTTACAAGAGTGAGGAAAAGACTAATTGAGAAAGTGGTCAAGGCCAATGAGTCAGTACCCAGACTGCACATGCACACTCTGAGTCACTGAGTAAATGTTTCAGAGCAGTGGTTCCCAACCTCTTGTTCTTAAGGGACTCCTTTTCTATTATTGAGTAAACTGGCGACCCTTTATATAGCGGATAAACTGTACAATGAACCCAAATAGAGAATGTTATAACTGCAGGAAGTTGTAGAACGGAGCAGATTATTGGCCTGGTCTGTATTATGTATTTAACTTTTTTATTTTTCAATTATACATTATATTATCTAAGTAAACAATTTAATTTAGTTTTCTACAGAAATAAATGAAATGTTGAGATACAGGCCTACAGCGTATATTTTTTATGTTTTAGTACACCCCTTAAAATCAAGATGGCCTTATGACCCCCCTGTGAAGCTCTGGTGACCCCAAATGGGCGTCCTGGCCCCTAGGTTGGGAGTTCAAGGAGCAGTTCAACATAGCAGACTTCATGGAAGGTGACACATATAAAGGGCTCATTCTCAGATAACAAATATATATACCTGTATTCAGGTGATACACACATATCTATGAGAATTATTTTCCATTACTGCCAACAGATGCTCCTAAATGTTACACACTGAACCTTTAAATCTGTTGCTTTCTAACTTACACAGAGGAGTCACATTAGCTAACACTATGGGCAGAGATGTGACATTATTGAACAGGTCAAGCAGCTGAATCAACTCTTTTATTTCATTTTTATTTGTTGTACAAAAATTGCAATACAACATTGTTAGGGTTAATTTAGTTTTAGTGTTTTTATCCAGGAAAAAGGTTGAATAAAACATATTTTTTATCGTAAGCGATGAAGTTAACATCTCAACATCCTTTCCGTGTCAGGGATAATATAACAAAAATAATCATAGTCATAAAAGGAAATGCTTTCCATTTCTCCTACATCCTTGTTATTTTGGTGAAAGAAGTTCTGCATCTTTGGAAAATCCGGCTGATTTGCTGAAACTACTTTGTATTATAGAAAAACAAACCTGCAAATTTTAGACCTCAATTAAAGCATTGACTCAGACCGTAGTATAATTGGATTGATCAGTAAAGTGTAAGACGCAATGCAAATATGAAGACTTCATGTAAAAATGGTGTCTCTGGTACCAAATGCATCTCATGGATGGTTTTTAGGCAACCAAGTAGCACCTGAACACTGGAAAGTCCTCCGCTCTCCCAAAGAAAAAGCAGAGTGGGGAAAAGTTGACTCTGGAATCAAGACTGCTTATTCAGTCCACTTTTCCACCGCTCCAGAATGAGGAAATAAAGAGGCCAGTGTTTCATTATTCCTCAACATTTAATGTGGCTGGCCGCTGCCTTTTTTCACCACAGCGCAGCATGGTGCTTTATAAGCAGCCGTACGCCATCCGCAGTAGCCTGGGGCCTGGAAGGACCTCTCCCCAGTAAAATTGGAGAGCAAGAAATAAGTGGCTCAATTATGTGTGTGTGTGTGTGTGTGTGTGTGTGTGTGTGTGTGTGTGTGTGTGTGTGTGTGTGTGTGTGTGTGTGAAAGCCAGGGCTGGACTGGAAATAAAGAGCTGAATTCAATTGGCTGTTGGTCTTAAGCTGGCCTCCACATGTTGTAAAAATACAGACGCAGAGCAGAAGCAGGTTACTACAGGGCACAGAGCGAGAAAGAGACTTTCTTTGTGTGTCATGTGCTTTTAGGGAAGTAAAGTGCCAGAGTGACTCATAGAGGGGTGAGTAAATGTCTGATGCTGCTGAGCTTTGCTTTTTAATGAAAGTGAGTGTCAAACGTTTAAATGCTCAGTCCTATTGTGGCTATTAGTACCCATTAGTCATACTACTGCTGTCTATCTGTATGGCATTTATTACTTACTATGCACATGCTAACTTTGCTCCTATCTGTTTACAGCTTCGTCCATCTCTCTACAATCCAGTCTCTCCACTTGGTGAAGATGTAGTCTGTTTGATCTCCATGGAGATGTCTCCAAACACAGTCTCCTCTGCCTCGTTGCCATGGTCACTGTGGTTGCTGTTCTTCCTGACCCCCGTCACCCGGACAACAAGTTCTGTGCCCACATCTGAAACTTTTCTGCCGGCCAACACCACGCTGTTGTTTAACAGTGGCGCTCCGGGGTACAGCCTGCGGAACTGCAGCTGCTCAGCACCCGTCCAGGACTGCAACGAGGCTTTGGCCAACTCACTATGCAGATGCCACACGGTTTTGCGCTCTGCTCTGCCCCCTGCTGGGCTCAGAGAGCCTGGACAACTCACCGTCTGGGTGAAGGAGCTCTGGGACCTGGAGGAGCTGCTGAACAGAAGCATGGTTGGCCATTTGCGGTTGTCCTTTTGTGGAATAAAACCAATAGACAGTCAGTACCTGGCTCTGCTGGGTCTACGGACCCTCAGGATCCACAGCGCTGCAGCAGAAGCTCCCTACCCCAACCAGGAAATTACAATCTCCCCCACAGCAGGGGTTGCAATGGAGCTAGAGGCCCTCTCCTTTGACTTCTCCTCCTACGTCCACGTGACCTTTCTGGATGCAGCAGTTCTCAACGGGCTCTCTGCCCTGAAGGCATACACTGTTGTGGGACCACCTGCTCACACACTCTCTGAGCACTTCCCCCACCTGGCCTTGCCCTTTGCTCTGCCATCTTCTGCTACTCCTGAAGACCCTACGGACCCCGACGAGCAGGCTGCAGAGCCAGAGGAGAACCTGCTCATGACGTTTGTCTACTAACAACAAGTTGATTGGAGGGCGCAGTCAGGCTTGCAGCGACAAATGATGCGATCATAGAGGACACAGCTGGATGTTTTTTTGCACACCTGACATATTCTCTGTGGAATATATTGACTTTTTGTATGCCTGGCTGCTGTACTGTCATTCTGGCCTAAATGTGGCTTTGAACAGACAGGCTTACATCTTTCTTACCCTGATGCTTTTTTTTCTTTACGGAGATTATTGACTCTTACACTCCTGCTGCTGTTTTTCCATCCCTGCGCAGAAATTCATGCACTCGTACCGCAAACAGTCACACGGTCTGGCTATGTTTACACCAGCTACAGTACAGCATATTCTGGGTATCACCCCATATTTGCTGACCAGAAAGCTGTAATGACCCCGATCCTAACAACCTAATGCTCCAGTTAGAGGCGATGATTTGCTTGTGCTAATCTTTCTGGAACTGCTGTACATACGGGGGCTTCAATTTATGGTCAAACAGTGTGTTTACATGCATAAATATTATCTCTTATCCTTGTTATGACTTACATACAGGAGAGTGTTTTACATGCACAAAACACATTCTGCTTACAATTGTTGGTACCACTTAAGGAAGCCAATGATTTAATTTAATAAGGGATTCTTTATAAAGGGGGTTATAAAGTAGTAACCGGTGGCTTTATCAAGGAATCAAGGAAATGTATTTATGAAAGTTTGTAGTTTCCTTCATTCTACACAGATAGAAAAAGATAATCAAATTGATAGAATAACATATAAAATAAAAATAAAATAAACTAAATCAATATATGCAGTTATTTATATACACACACATCTATACTTTAGATAGTGATGAGAATATGGTCCTGGGCTCCTGTCGACTCGGAACACAGTCCACCAATCGAGTGCTTGATCCAGGATGTTGATGGAGCAGGTCTCTGTCAAGATGTGGGCACAACAGTCTCTGATTTCCCATTGTTTAGTCCCATTTCGGCCAAAACCAGACGTTAGCCAGGAGCAGCCTTAAGTCCAAGGTGGGCCAGCATGGCTCCTATCCATCTCTCTTCCCTCTCCTCCTGGAGCATCATCACCCGCTGTCGTGGAGCGGGTCCTGCTGGGTGGCTCGTCCTTAAGGTCCGCTGCTCTTTAATCCAAATCCCACCCTTTCTTTTCCGATGACTGCGGGCTGTTCCTGTCGTAGGTCATACTCAAAATCTCCTGAATACAGTCGATTTAAACAATCTTGGCTTAACCCTTAAAAATTAAACCCAATCAGACATCATTCCATTTTGAAGGAGCTACTGACCTCTGCATCTACATGTGCAGTCGTTGCCATGGAGATACAAGCACTTACTAATGCTTTAGGACTGTTTGACAAATTCAGTCCAACACTTAATTTGCTCAAATTAATTCACACACAATCCGTATAGCATAGTATCATCACTTCATCATCATCATCATCATTATTTTTTGAGATCACATCACTCCACATCTGGCCTTGAAAACTCCCTGGCTTGATCAGATGACAGGCAGCGACTGAACGTGTGATCAGTGTAACCGTAGCCACAACTGTCCAGACAGGCTGTGGGCTGATATGCCATCTGCTAGAACAATATCCGAGACAAACCACACGCCCGCTCCCAAAGAGAGATGAGATGTTCCAGATCCCGCTTCCAGCTGCCAAGTGGGTGTTAGCTCCCGTCCAGGTGTTGTCAGATATATCGGGGCAGCAGGATAGCATAGACAGCAGGGAGGAGGCCTTTGACTAGACTTTGGCTGCAGTTGTTTCTTGAGTTTTGAGTTGACAATTGATTGGAAAATCTGGAATAAATGAGTGGAGAAACGTAACAGATGCAGATGCTTCCATGCAGGACATGAGGACACACTGATGGGTTTGAGGAGTCTGAAAATGATGGATCAATGTGCAGATACCACCTTTTTCACATTTCCACCACCATCATCAAATAATAATGTCTTTTAGAGGAATGGTGGTTCGCCTACCTTAATATTTCAGTTGATATTACATTTGTGTTCAAATTATCACAAATGTACTGGCATCCAGCATAGAAATGGTTTGTTTCTGGGACTGTGGAAAATATGTTAGGAGCACTTTTTAGTCAGGGTTGCTCAACTGGGGACCATCTCTTTTTGTTCCTCCTGGATGGTTAATCCATCTCTGGATTAGTCAGTGAAAGGATGTCTGCCCACTCAGGCTGAAACCAGGCCACATTTGGCGAACATCTTGGTTACATAAAATGTTTTTCTAACAGCATTTCTATGGAAAGTTGCAACATGTGGCTGGTCTCATATATGTTGAAATGATGTACAGTCTCAATGAATGAGGTGCTGTGGGGAAAGGAGAAAGCAAAAGGACAAATTCCTGCCTCAGGGATCAATAGAGCATCATAAAAAAACAAGATGTACTGTGGCAGCTGACTGCAGTGAACACTGGCTGGAACCAATCCAGACTATCCAGAGTGGGGTCAGAGTCTGCGCCAGAGCTGGATGATACTATTGTGTCTGGGAGGGAGCTTTGAGTGTTGTGCTGCTTTGTTGAGGATATTTTATAAAGTAAATTATAGCAAAAGCTATATGTTGTCAAGACATATATCGACAACTGACAAACAGATAGAAGAATGTATAAGAAAACAAAACAATAGAAGACAAGGACTGTGTCAGTCCGCTGTGGTATGAGCTGACGGAGAGGCGCAGTAGGCTCACTGTTATGAAGGCTGCAATCCGCTGCTGCGTTTTTCCAGCTGGCCTTATTGAGTGCAGATGGCCTAATAAAACAAGTTGTTTTGAAACAGGTTAAAATGGACGCCCAATGAACAAGAGTCCCAGGGTTAGGATCCTCTCTCACCAGCCAACAAACCTCATTCTGTTTGGATCAAAACTATGACTTTGACTCTCTGACGAGTTGGATGAGTTGTACGGTCCTAAACCCACTTAAAGCCAAGTTGGCAGGACTCTGTAAGGGAAGATCGGGAACTAAAAGAGAAATGTTCTCAGAATCATGTTGGACCTGATTCAGTCACTCCACAGCTGTTTATCAGAAGTCAATCTGAACTTCTTGAACAGTTTGTGTTTTTGTGTCTGTATATTTTTGCAGTCACATTAACCAAACGAGAAAGAAGTCGGAGGACAGTTTGAAAAAGAAAGTGGATGTAAGAACTCTTTCTCTCTCTGGTTCCAGCTCATATCCTGTGAGAGACTTTGTTAAAGCTGCTCTCACAAACACAGTCCGGGGCCAACACTTCTGTTCTGCAGATCATTCAAAACTGTTCTGCATCTGTGTGTGTGTGTGAGTGTGTGTGTGTGTGTGTGTGTGTGTGTGTGTGCGTGTGCGTGTGAGTGTGTGTGCAAGTTTGCAGGCGTCAGCACATGGGCGTGTCTGTGTGTGTATGTGTGCATGTGCTTGCATTCATCTCCCTTTTTGCAACATCATAGTTAATTTGTCGCTCTATAGTCATAGTTCATTTAGATCCTTTACAGTTACAGCAGATGCAATGTGTTGAGATGCAAGTGTTGCAAGTGTTGTATATACTTCATTTATGCACTGATTACGTGCAAGTAAACACTGTCAGTGAAACAAAGTTGCTACGCAAACTGTTGTATCACTGTTCTGTAATTATTTAGAACTCCAGCTAAATAAATGCAGATATCACTGTCAGGTGAAAATCCAGAAAAGCAGCCATGATTTGAGCTATCTACTGTGCATTTTTGTATGCATTAAAACTGTTTTAATAATCCAAAGGTTGGAAAGGTTGTCAAAAAACAACAGAGTTCATGACTTGCAGGACTTCTGCAACCCCACACCCAAAACAAACTGGCCTTCATTAGTAACGCAGTGTAGGGACTTGGCACCATGCTGAGTGCCTCCAGTTCATGCATAAAAAATTTGGTAACTTTTCAGGCAACGCTGTTTTTGACAGCAAACCTTGTGGGGTTTGAGAAGCTTACTGAAGTCCCTCAACATGTAACTGAACTAATGAAACTATAATGAATCAGATTAATCCCACTTTATATCATAAATTGCCCATAAGTCTCTAAAGGATCATGTTCTTACGTCTCCTGCAGGCCACTGTTTCACTAGCTTCTGTGATTCATTGGATTCCATTCATTACCTCATATCTGTCAATAGTCTTTATGTTCCTGCAGTTTGCTATACACATATATATTCATAGAGCATTTGATATTAAAAATAGATTGCTATGTAAGTTAAACTTGCAATACTGATGACTAATGTGTTAGCATCCAGCAGACACAGAGCAACCATTTTTGGTCTCAGCCAACTCCTGAGAAAAATATCTGTCTCTTTAGCTGCTACAAGCTCCACTGTGTTCACAAGCTAGTTGTAAACGTTGTCTGTCTGTTGTTTGGTGCTGAGCAGGTAGCGCACAGTGGATTTATCGGAGTTTTCTTTTACTGAAAACCGCTGCGGCCAAAAACTATGCTATGCTATCAGTGAGAGTGAATCAGAACAGTACATTTGTGGGCCAAAAAAATAAAACAATGAGTTGAAAAACGGCAAAAACTTTAGAGCTGAAGGAAACTGCAAAGTAAGATACTGCAACCAACGCTTTTCACATACTCATTTGATCCATTGCTAATGTAAAAACACCAGTTATTGCAACTTTAAAAAAAACTACAACTTCCATGAAGTTTATCATTGCTTTTATTATACATCACCGTAAATCCCTTATCCTTGATATACACTAAGGCTTTCTTCTAAAGTCATCTTTCCAACTTTCTGTTCTTGCACGACTCGACTTGCCTTAAAAGTGATAAGATTTAATCTAGGATGGTTTGGGCTCGTGGGAAATGCATGGTTCCTGCAAAAGGCTGCTGAAAACAGTAGGCTATTAATATTTTTTATTCACATCCATCTCTAAAGAAATGGACAGAAATGCACAACATACTGCTGAGTAAGCTTACGTTTCAAAGCTAGATTGCCAATTCAATAATTTAGAAAATGCGTATTGTATGATTCTGAATGAGTATTTGGAAAGAAGCAAATCCTAAATAATACTTTTTAAATTGCCATTACACCACACTGCAACACTGTAGCCATCGACACAACAATGTCCTCTGTGAAAAAGATAATGACTACAGAAAGAATGTGGCCGTTTTTCCATTTACGTCAGTGCAGTTATTCTTTTCTTTGTCCCCTTTTGTGGCCACCAAAGATGCTTTGTTTCAGCCCAGTCGTACATAACACAATTTTTATGCGTTACCAGATCTTTCTTTAGTTTGATGTTAACTTTTCCTGCCCTGTGACTGTCAGGCAGGGCTGCATCCTGGCACTAAATGCACTTTCTTACAAATGGATATGGAAACAGGATGGTGACCATTAACGTCTGGGCCTGGCCTAAAAACACCCATACCCCTTTTCTGAAACAAGACTAAGCTGTGGCTCTTTGTTTGCTGAATGGAAACACATTTCATTATGCAACAGGCTGAGTTTAATCTGGTTTAGAAAATACAACCAGAGCATGCAGAGGTGATTCGCTCTGTATATATATATAAAAGAGTGTGTACTCAAATCTTCTAAGCTTTTTCGACACAGTCCGGACACCTTTTTGTTGCCTTTAAGCCAACACTCACACCCAGTACTCAGCACAGGAACGGACTGGAACTTAATTCACCCATAACACTGGTGGAAACTTACCGAGCATTTTGGGGGGCCAGAATTTGGCCTTTAGTCACTCCCATCTGGTGAACGGGGTGATTACACACCTCCACAAGCCACCTTCTAATGGTTTTCAGACAGGATGTTTAAGGCAGGCCGTGAGACTTTGTGAAAGCTCCCGTCAGCGCACATCACAAAGTCTTAAAACGTCTGGAACATTCGACCACAAAATGGGTGAAAATGAGATCACTGGGTTTTTTAGGTTTGACATCACTCTCTTGTGTTAGAGCCTCGACTTCCATCTCTTTCTCTTTTTTCTCTCTTGATCTTCGTTACAGCACCTTAAATACTTGCATCAGGGAATGTAATTGTTCAAATGTAAAACACAGATTTGCTATGATTTTAACCCACAGCTATATTTGCCTAAAGATTTGTACACACTGCAGATCTGCATTTTTTACAACCTTTGGCACGTTCGGCAACTCATGGGTGAATCATGTACTGTTTAAGGAACAGATTGTGTATTTGGAAATGGTTTGGCAGGTTTGATCTGTATATAATTTGGCTTATTTAAGCAAATTCCTGGAGCTTATTTGTTTACCATGAAAAGACGATGTGGATTGTCCACAAACTTTGTTTTCTCTCTGTATAGTCTGAGATAATAAAAAGTTTGTAAAAAGTGGTTTTGTGGTTGTTTTGTCTTACATAGTATTCCTAATCGTCACATTACAGTTGATGTGAGATTCGGGGATGCATTTCTTTCTGTAGCTTGTCTCCATTTGTTTGTTTGTTTGTTGCCAAAGCATCACCACTGCTGTGAATCCCACAGTCCGTGTTTCTTATTTCTTTGTTCAACCATTTCTGGGATCACTGCTTGTATACTTATTATTCCATTAAACATGGGGCCATATTTACAAAGTACCAAGGGCGTAATCATGGTGCAGATATTGTGGGGGGTCCAAATGAGAGTCCTCCGACAGGGCTGTTTCATCAGTGCATTTCCCACAATTCTATAGTTTTAGATTGTAGTTTTGACGGCTATATTGACATTTGAATTCACATTTAAAGTAATAGTCTGTGATTACCCCGAGATAGTGGCTGCCCCTCCACTTCATTTGGTTTTGGTTGCTCACTGTTTACTGACTTTAAATGCACCTACCAATTACATTTTCCAGTAGTAGCAAATAGGATGGCTTCCAATGGGGAAAAATTATATAGTCGCTAAGAGAGTCTGAAAAGTCAACAAGCTGGCAACATTGAGGGTACTGAGCACGACCAAGTTGGGGGGAGTCACACACCTAACGTTTTCCTTAACGAACGGACATACATTATATACAATATACATATTTCTACTGTATATTGGGGTGGTGGGGGGGGACAGATTGGTACTTAGGTGGCCGGCCCCAAAGAATGCATGGTTACGCCCTAGCAAAGTGCTGTATCTTATCTTAAGGATAAATACAGTTTTTCTTTTTTACAACTTATGCCTTTTTTTTGTTCTTCTGGCAGTCATTTTTATTCATTATGAAAACACTATTCTCTCTGAAGTATTTGTTTAGTTCAGGAAACACGGCAACACCGCAGTGTATAACAGGACAAGAACCATGAGTAGGCTGTGTATATGTGTGTTTTATCCAATATGTGAAGCACTTTGTAACCTTGTGGTTTAAAAAGTAAACTATTATTATTATTATTAGCGGGGACTTTGTCTCTGACTTGAAGTAATAATATTCCAATAATATGATGAAAAATTACTTTTAATAGATGTTTTTAGCTGTAATTCAGCTGTTAATACTTGACTGAAATCTTTTTATTTGCCGTAACCATGATCCTTCCCTAACTTTAACCATGTTGTAGTTGCTCTTCACTGACATTGTAGGAGGCCAGAATGTAAAAACATTGGCAGTGAAACTGTTGTCATTGAACATATTACAGGCTTTTGCCAAGTTGCCCAATATCAACATTGATGTTTGGAGTTGCACCAAACTTCTTTTAATCGTTGCATTTCCAGATCTCAGGTGAGGTGAGTGTGCTATTAATACCATTAGGAGTGATGGCTAAATATCTGAAAATAAGAACCACTTAAATACTTATTTATACCTTATTCACATAGTGTACCATTTTTATATGTTGGTACTTCTCAAGGTATCTTTGTTGTAACATATGAATGAATGTTTCATCTGTCTATTAATTCTATCCACACTGATTTGGGATTAGTTGGATTTTGTTGGCACATTTGTCGTTTCTGTTTTATAAACATACTTATAATTCAAGGAGAAAACAAGTTGAACAACTAAATAAACATTTAGTGAGTTTACTGTTCACATTAGGATTTAACTGAAGACTCAGTTGCGGTTTTAGGTGGTGGTAAAGTGTGAGTAGCAACAGCCTACAGGGATGGAAACGGTCTCCCAACACATAACAACAACCTGAGCCACCAGAGGATACATGAACTCAGCCTTGACACGTGGCAACAATGCAAATACAAACAAATACAACATTTCCATCGATGTCTGTTTGTATTTTGGGTGTTTTTATGCCTTTATTTTTTATGGAGACAGTTAAAGACAGACAGGAAAGTGGGGGGAGAGAGCAGATGACATGCAGCAAAGTTCTTCAGGGGCGTGCAGTCTACTAGTGTGGCCTGCATCCACCATTTTCTGATAACCATCAGCGTGCAATGGGGTGTGAGATGGGTAATTTTGCTCTCCAAATGGGCACGGAATATTTCAATGTAAGGCCTCTGTTAGGCTACTAACAACCACATGCATTGCAAATTATGTTTAGATCAAAAACTTAAGTCTCAGTAGAGCAGTTTCATCAATTAGCTGTGATCTGAATCACCAGCAGCAACATTTAGATGATACCAAAATTAAATTCCAGATTACATCTTTAAACTGCTTTAACTGAACTCCGGTGCTGTCACATTGCAGAGCGTTATTCAAAACAGGCTTCAAAGAAACTCCTTGCAGTATATGCTTGCATTTGCATGATTTGCATATTTAATTGCACTGACAATACTCTGCTCCTGCAAAAGTACAGTATTATCAGTGCAATACAATTTGTTAACTTTAGACAGCTGTCAACACAACTGATAAGATATAATGTTTTGTTTTTAACTTTTTTTTATGTATTGTAAAGGTAGAAAACAAAGTAAATTCTTTGGGAATACTGCTACTACCATGTCTCTACTCGTTATAATAACACAACTATTTGAGTCCCTCGGGACCAGTTTAAGTCCTTGTAGGAATATTCCAGGGACTTGATTTTCTCATTGAGTCATTCTACAAATAGCTTATGTAATAGCATTGCATGAAGCCAGATAGGGCAGAGTCGAGATTTTATCTTCTCTCTGACCGCCCTCTAGTGGCCCCTGAACAAATAAAGGGGCAAAGCAGCTCAAGCAGGAAACTACCCAGTGACATTTGGTGAGTACACACACAGGAAGTTAAATGACTTCTTCAAATTAATAGATTAATCCTCAGGGCAAGCAGGTGAGGCATACATGATTTCTTATAATGGTGTAGAAAATATGAATCTCTCATAAACAGTATGATTAGCTGCTTGTCCCGAGGGTCAGGGTTAGGATTGGGTTGTGTGTTTGAAGCTGTGCAACATGTTTTTCTGCTGTGACAGCTATTAATCCAAAGGAAATTTCTATATTGTAGTTTTTTATGACCACAAAAACAGGAAAAATGGTTCTTAAAAGCCTCAAATCTTTTAGGCTTTTAAAACAATTTCAACTTTTGATCCATTTGATCAATGGTGCAAATATTCTATTAATGGAGAAATATTGCTATGGCATTGTTTCAAACAATCATTTTGTGAATTCCAGCATAGCTTCACAAAATTAAGTTTCAAGATTAATAATTGTGTTTACACTAAATTATACCCTACCTATGTTTTGCAACTTAAAAATAATAACATCAGACAATTGTTGCCTCTTTTTAGGTAGCTGGAGTTAAAATGAGTCATCCTCAACATTTGTTGTGTGATGATTTCAGAATGATGACGACAGTTGGAGAACAGTTAGATACAAATTGGTATTCTGTTCTCTCAAATTTCTTGAAAAATGCATATAGCTGCTGTAACTGTGGAGGGGAATTCATCTCTGATGCAACATTCACAGGAAATATGCTCATAATCCATCCATCTTGCTGCAGTTCATTGTACAGTTTATCAGTTGCTCTGCACTGTGTTATGCATTGAATATAATATTACATAGCCATAAAATATGTCACTTAGTCAGTTTACTCAATGATATAAAAAGGGGTCCCTTCAGGAAAAAGATGTGGTGGAGTAGAAGAGAAAAACCCAAGTGAAGTACAACCATCTCGAATTTGTTCTAAAGTACAGTACTTGAGTAAATGTACTCAGTTACATCACACCGCTGCTTCTTTCTGTATTCTGTATGCAGCCTTGGGAAGTAATGGATTACATATAACTGAGTTATATAAGATTATTAGTTATTCTTTAAAAAATAAAATACACAGAGCAGAGGACTCATTTGATGCATTTTCTTCCCAAAGGTTACATAGTCCTGTTGTCTTATAGAATACATTTATATCCACACTTTTATTTACATCCTTTACTTACTTTAGTCACTTTAATATTGTGATACTCGGATTACTCGGCAGTGCGACTTTTATTTTGAAGGAGACACGGGAAGTAGCAGTATCTTTTCGTGTAGTTTGACGTCAGACTTGCTCGTAGATATACATAGATACTTGCTGCAGTGACGTTGACGTCACGGGGAGGACGTTGTGCGAGTGCTCGGAGAGAAATTCACTTTTCCTTCTCGGACATTGAAACAGAGTCACCCGCCAGCGGTGCGTCGGTAAGTCACTGAGCTGCTCCTCCACTCTGAGATCCTGACTGCTGTGTACTTCTAAATGTGTCAGCCATTGTTATTCATACGTCTGTACTCAGTTTAATGCTCCATAGTGTTTGAATTTATGTCAGAATAAAGTAATAATATTCACGTGAGTCTAATGTAAGTGGCACTGTGGGAGCTGTAACAGATTATTATGCTTTAACACGCAGGGAAAGTCAGGTGTTATCATTCAAACATGAGGGGATGGCATTAATGTGGTTATTCTTATTAGGGAAATAAATGGGATGTCTGTTGAATATAAGGAATGTTGTTTCCTTGTGTTTTTAGACTCTGACAATGCAGTCCACGGAGGACTATGGACACACACTATCTGGTGCCTTATGAGTGTGAAAGGATGAACTTGTTTCCTCTTGTTCTTTATCTCCTGTCACTGCTTGTTTCTGGTGAGTAACACCGAGTTCCCTCCAGTTAATGCTTTTTATTTTACTGGAAGTTGTACTTTGTTGAATACCTCAGATACCACACACACACGCGCCCTGATGTTGTTATCAAAGCTGCCGACTCATTAAAGTGCCCTGCCAGGTGTGTCTTGTGCCATTTGAGTCAGACTGCATCACGTGTTTGTTCCCATGATCCCGCAGTGCTGGGTTCCCTTCCCGCTCCGGTCAATTTGAAGATCACCTCTGTCAACTTCCACCATGTCCTGCATTGGGATCCTGGGCCCGGCACCCCACCAGGAACGGTGTACAAGATCAGGTAACTTATCTGTCTTTTTTTTTTTTTTAGTGAGCTGCTTGCTTTGATTTTCTTAGCACACGCACTGCCTGATGCATTTCCTTTCTGGGGAA